CCCGTACGACCATAAATTTGTACTTTAATAAATTGAGGTGAAAACAGGGTAACGACGTTCCTCCCTCACCTCAAGTGTGTCGTTCTGTGAATTCCATGCTTCTCCTAGTGTTTTTATCGTGTGGTCCTCTTGCAATTCTAGATTGATGGTGCCTTCAGGTAACCCTTCGAGCAAGGATTGGTCGTTTGAGGCCCACTGTCTTATGTGAATTCCGTCGCGCTGTAGCAATTGGATGATTTCGTCTCGAAGCTGTATTGCCTCTTTTCTCGTTTGTGTGTCTGTGATTAAATCATCCAAGTATAAATCCCTTTTCAATACAGTGGATGCTGTAGGGAATGCGTGTGCCTCGTCGGTTGCTAATTGATTTATGCATCTTGTTGCCAAGCATGGGGCTGCGGATAAGCCGAAAATAACCCTGTTCAATTGATATGTTGTTATTTTTCCGTCGGTGGCCCTCCAAAGTATTCTTTGATACTTTCGATCTTCTTCTTTAACTGAAAATTGACGGTACATTTTCTCAATGTCTCCTGTCAAGACATTGTTGTGCATGCGGAACCTGAGAATTAGTGCAAGCAGATCGTCCTGAACTGTTGGGCCTATCATTAGTGTTTCGTTCAATGAAATGCCGGTGGACGATTTGGCGAATCCGTCAAAGACCACCCGCAGCTTAGTGATTCTTCCTTCTTTTAGGATTCCGTGGTGGGGTAGGTAGAATCCAGGTAGGTTGTCGGTGGCTATTGATAGGTGTCCTAGGTCAATGTACTTTTGACTGACTGCGGTGTACTGTTTCTTGAATTCTGGGTTTGATGCGAACTTCTTTTCGAGTGCATAAAACCGTCTCAATGCGGTGTATTTAGAGTCGCCTAATTGAAAGGGCGTGTCTTTAAAGGGTAACGCTACCACATACCTGCCTTCTTCTGTCCGATTGATATTGTTCTTAACCTTTTCGCGGACAAGACGGCTATGACCGTCGTTTTGTCGATCGTCTATTGGGACAAGACGGTCATAGCCGTCGATTCTCCATATAATGGCAAGATGTCTGTGACTGTCTTGAATACACACAAATGTATCTTACCAAGAATATAGAAACAAACATACGATTATTG